TTACTGTATTCCCTCCCAAATACCAGGAGGATTCCCCATTTCAGACTTTCCAGAAGTCAGTGCTGTGGGAAACCCAAGTGATGAGGGAACCCATGAAGGCTCTTACTAATATTTATTACTCTCACGCAATGAAAGCTGAGAGGCTCTCAGTGACATTCTACACCCCTTTAATGAGGGGTCCGGTTCAATCCATTTCCATATCCCACCCCTCCAACACTGTTTTGCTTTGCTTCAGACTCCATGGATACCAAGAGGCACAGTTTTTCCACGGCTCAGGCTTCCTCCAGATGTTCAGCGCCGTGTGGATTTGCAATTCGGAGTGCCTCTAGCACAGCCCCGAGGTGCTTGTAGTTCACACAATGGGATCCTACAAACAGGTTATGGGAAAAGTATAGCGATGTCAGTTACCCACTGGAATTCTGTACAGGGAACGTAGGGGTTTCTCCTGTGGCAGAGGAGGAGGCTGAACCTGCTGACATGCCTGGGGTCCAGTTGCTCCACGCATCTCTTCCCCGCAGGTCTGGCCTCTGCGCTCAGATGTGTCACGTCCACTCACTCCTGTTCAGAGCCGCTCTCAAGAGACAAAATCACCAACAAACACAAAGAGATGGTGTTACTGTGCAGGTTCTTGCCTGTCTAAGAATTCAAATGTGATTGTTTTTTTTTTTTTTTTTCTTAAGGGATCTTCATCATGTTTGGCACAGAGCAAAGCTCACGACACGGCCCAGCAGGTGGTGTGGTGGTTGCGGCACAGCCCCCACATGGCTGACCACGGTTCAACCTGACAGCCTGAAAATCACAAATAGATAAATACATGTAAAAGAACAACAGCCACCTTAACCACCATGCCACCTGACTGGCCTTGAATTTTATTTTTTTTAAAAAAAATCTCACAAAAAGCTTTAATTTATTTACTTTTTTTTTTTTTTTTTTTTTGCTACAGGGTGTGTGTGCTCCCAGTGGAGAAAGATAGAGATGGAAAGTGAGAAATCACCACAGGGGGGTATGACCACACCACTGTTTCTTCTTCATTCTCCTCAGGATTAGGGGCGCAGGTGCATGCGTGCCTGGCATATCCTCCAAGCTGCCAGGTACAGGAATTGAACTGCACTCTTGGCCATGTGGGATCCAGCCACCTTAACCATCAGGCTACCTGGCTGGCTTTGAATTTTATTTTTTTTAATTGGGAAATATTGGAGCCTGACAGTGATGCAGCAGTAAAATACACACTCTGTGAAGCTGATCCCCGTGGCAAGGTTCTGGGTTTGTCTGGAAACCTCTGAGTGCACTGGGCTTGCACGTGCCCATGATCTGCAGCTGGCTGGAGCTGACCGTGATGGTAGTCCCAGACCCGGTGGCTTAGACTCACACCGGGTGCGTGTGCATGCGTGCCCAGGATCCCGAGAGAGAATGGAGAAGGGACTGCGGCGTGACCGTCCCCCTGGGGATGGGGTGATTTCTCACTTTCTGTCTCTCTGTCTTTCTGGCAAGTGCACACGCCTTATAGCAAACAAACAAACAAACCAAAAACACACACACACACACACACACACAAAAAAAAACCTCTCTAAAAAAAAAAAAAAAAGACCCTGAGATCAGCCCCAATCAGTAAATAAGGAGAGATGCAGACAAGAGCTCCAAGAGCATTTCCAGTGAATTCCTGACACTGAGGCCTTTTGGCTAAACACACTGAGGTCCCAGGGAAAGAAAGCAGTGTGGGGTTTGTTCTCTGGCCTAGTTACGTCCCTCAGAAATGCCCCAGGAGGGAGCTGGCCCACCTGCCAGTCTTTAGCAGGCCATGGGCTGGTGGCAGATAAGGGCCTGCAGGGAATTTTGTTCCTGAGTTCCTGCCAGGAACTAACCTTCTCTCATTTAGAAGGCAACTTCTTGGGACCAGCAGCTGGCATAATGGCTATGTCGCTGGACTCTCATGTGGTTGACTGCAGTTCGAGTCCCAAACCCAGTGGCTTAAACTCACACTGGGCACATGTGCGTGCATGCCCAAGATCCCAAGAGAATGGAGAAGAGATTGCGACATGGCCATCCCCTCTAGGGGTGATTTCTCATCTTCTGTCTCTCTGTCTCTCTCCGTCTTTCTGGTGAGAGCACACGCCCTATAGCAAAAACCTCTCCAAAAAAAATAAAATAAAATAAAGGAGGCAAACTCCTTCTCAAAAACACCCTGACTCCCAAGGCTCTTGGCAATGAACCTACTCCAGGTACCACGGCCCACGGTCATGCTAGCCCCAGCTCCAGGAGGGGGCCTCTAACACTGGCACCCTGCCCTTTCCTCTCCTTCCTCTCTTGGCCTCACTGCTGGTTGCCATCTCCCTGGGAGCTGGGAAGCTGAAGGCAAGGCTGTGTAGCTGCTGATGCCACTGTCCACTCTGGCCTGGATCCAGCTGAGATAACACACCCACCGCCCTTCGCGCCCCCTCACTTCCTCTCCATGATTATGTGAAGCATCTGGGAAGTCAGCAGCTGCAGCCACCGCTGCCACCCCAAGAAAGCGGGTGACGTAATCCCCATACATAGCCTGACAAGCGTGCCCTGGGGTAAAAGGGGCTCTGTGAGAGGAGAGTGCCCTACTGTCTTTGTCTGAACTTCCAGGAGCTCTCGCTGATGTCCTGGCTCTGAGAAGAGATGAGAAATTAACCCGGGTTTCCTCGCAACCACAAAAGCATCTTTCATCCCACAAGACTCCAGACTGGAGGGAAGATTTCCCTCTATAGGGGCCAGAGACAGGCAGCTCTGAAGTAACTTCCTCCAGCCCCTACCCACTTCTTTAAAAAATATATATATATATTTTATTTAATTTTATTTATTTATTTATTACCAGAGAGGGACAGAGTGTGTGTGGGGGGGGTGTAGTGAGAAAGCAAGCCACCAGGTCCAGGACTCGAACCACGGTCAGCCATGTGGGAGTCCAGTGGCCTTAACCTCCATGCCACCTGCTGGCCCCCTAGCCCCCACCCACTTCTGAGGGTTCCTGCTGTAGCCCAAAAAGCTAGGAGACAGGCCTGAGGTGCCTACAGCCTGAGTGCTAATATGGTTCAGGACAAGCGCAACGACACTGAAGGTTGCGGGGTCGGCCCTGCTGGGTGGGCTGTCACCTGGACTGCAGGGTGCTCTGTGATGCTGAACAACTGAGGACTCTCAAAGGAGAGGGGCAGTTTTGTGGGAACAGCAGCTCCAGTCCGGCTGTCAGCAAGAAGACAAAGGGCAAAGCTGCCCACACTGAGCTCAACTAAGAGTCAGGCACTGGAAGCTGTGGGGTGACTGTCCCCAAAGGCAGCAATGGAGCACTTCCCAGCAGCCCCCACCATCCTTGGAGCTACTCCGAGAATGCTTTTTGCCATTTAGCATCTCAGAAAGCAGCAGGGTGATGATAATCCACAGAACATGGTGATTTCACCTCTAGCCGAAGCCAGAATGGCTGTGCACAATGCGGCCCCTTCCCTATGAGACCAGATCAACCCCAGAGGGGCTAACTGCGGAGAGCAGGTATATAAAAGGCCCTTTTACTCTTTTGACTTTGAAATTTTTATTTCATATATATTACCTTTCCAAAACTCTTTTTTAAAAGAGGTTTTTGACTTAGGGTGCCTGCAGTAGCCAGAGAAAGAAAGAAACAACAGACAGTGAGAGGGAAAGTGAGAAATCACCTCCGGGGGGATGGCCACACTGCAATCCCCTCTCCTCCATTCTCCTTCTGGGATTTTGGGCATGCATACACACATGCCCAGTGTTTTTCAAGCCACCAGGTCTGGGGCTTGAACCACAGGCAATCATGTGGGATCTAGAGATGTAACTGCTAAGCCATCTGTTAGCCCGAAACTTTATTTCTGAGAGAGATCTTTGCAATAGGGCACATGCATTCGCAGGAGAGACAGAGACAGAAAGCAAGAAACACCCCCCCCACCCTCCCCACAGGGAATGGCCATGCCGTAATACCTTCCCTTCCATTCTCCTTATGGGGATCTTGAGCATGCATGCACACATGCCTAGCATTGAGTTTCAAGACACTGGGTCCAGGGCTTGAACCCCAGTTGATCATGTGAGAGTCCAGCAACATAACCACCACACTATCTGCTAGCCACAACAACTCTTACAGTACAAAAAAAGTATACCAAACAGGCCAGTTCTGTAGCCTAGTGGGTAATGAAGCCTGATCCTACATGGCTGACTACGACCCAAACCCTGGTCCTATTGGTTTGAAGAACACTTCAGGTGTGAGTGTATACACATGCCCCCAACCCCAGCAGGATGGAGAATGGAGGGACTGTGATGTGCCCCCATCCCAGGGCAGGGACTTTCTCCTTCTCTTTTTCTGTCTTTCTCAGGGAAGCACTTGTATCCTCTAGTCAAAACCAAACCAAACCCCTTCGGCCCAGATGTAATCTGTACCAGTTCTTATGGGTCCCCTTCAAGATTATCTAGGGCTATCTACACAAGTTCCTCTCTGCCCTCAATTGCCTCAGTGACTTCCTCACCAGGAATACTGCACACAGTAGAGCTGCATCATATAAAGTGCTTCGCTCTGGAAAATTTCCCTCTCTAGCCAAAACCAAACCAAACCAAACCAAACCAAACACAACAGTGCCTGTGTCGTGCCTCTAACCAGGCATACATACACCAGAGAAAGCGTGTGGGGAGAGCTGGGTAAGGTTGTGGCTCTTCCCAGCGATTCGAGTGATTAAAACCCACTTCCCTCCCAGCCCCTACACTCAGGGCAAGTACTTCACCTGCAATACACTGGGTCATCAGAAAAGTCATGATGCATTTTTGCATAGAAAGACATAGAAAATACGTCATGACTTGCCTGACGACCCAATATCTCACAGTGCAAGATATTTCACAGCATGAAACATTTGGGATGTTCACTGGAAATAGTTCCATTATCATATTTAAAAAGGACAGAGAAATGTCACCATTAAAACAGACAAACTAGGAACACATTTACAAACCAAGAATATAACATTTTATTCATTTCCAGATAATGAGTATTCCATAGCATATACATATATTTAGAGAATATATAAAACAAAGAATAAACCGTAGGAAGAAATATTGGTCTGAAATTGCCTTTTGGGGACCTTTAATTCTTTAAGTTCATGGTAAATGTATCTCCCCCCACACTGGGGCAGGCAGCGGGGTCAACTCCAGCATTCACCCATCACTCACAGGACTGCTTACCCTTCACTGTACTTACAGCACAAATACGGAGTTACGGCCTGGTCGCTGGTGTCCATGACAAGAGACACCAAGTAGGAAATAAAAGAACCATAGCACAGTGAGCTAATATAAATATGTTTTTTGCATTGTCCTCCAGATAGTTTCCTTTTTAAACTAAGAGTCCCATCCTGGGTCCATCTCTTGAGCTGTATCCCAGTTATTGCTGGAGGGGAAAAACAGAAAAGAGTTATCAGCTGGGGTTATTAGAAAACAGATGGTTCCTAGCTCTGGTGACATCCGAACAGACACTGGGCTGTGTGGATGCATCCATGTCTGCAGTGGGCAGGAATGTGGGCACCCACTCTGTTAGAGCAGACCTGTTGGCTGAAAGGAATTCGGGCTGACCAAGAGGTTCAGATGGAGGATATTCTTCTGAGAAAGCCTATGAGCAGGAAGCAGCAGGATCCCTTCAGGAGGCAGGAATCAGGGTCACTCCTGATCTGGGGCTGATGTCAGAAGACCTACATACCACCTTAGGACACAAAGGTCCTCCCAGGCGTCCCGAGAGGCACTTTCCACTTTCCGGGGACACAGAACCCCTAGTTCACTGACTGGCCCTCTCCTGGAAAGGCTGCTTACCTTTGCCTTGTTCTGAACTGGGAGGTACAGTTTGAACTCTGCTGGCAGTTCATCTTCTGAATAGAGTCTGTCTGAGAAGTAAACCCGTCGTATGCGACAGTTTGCGTGGATCTGCAGAAGCAAGGCTTGTTTGAGGCTAAATTTGATTGTATTTCCTCTTTTCCTGATTCTCGTAGGGGCCCTCTCCTGATCTATCAAGCATCAACACTCGGGTATCTCCTCAGCTTGGCCTAGAGGCTGATTCTGCAAAAGGGAGCTTCTCTGTCTCTGCCCCCATATCTGAGCAAACTCCCAAATATGTCCTGGGCCTTTGCGAGGCCCGAATCCCCTGGACTCCAGCCAGAAACCCAAGCTGTCTGCCACGGGGGCCACAATCCAGCATCGGACACAGCATATTCCCCCATGCCCAATGTGGGGCTCCACCTGGAAAGGTACCTGCACTCTTAGGGTCTCGATGTAATTGGTGCCGTATGCTCGCCGGGTGAAGTCCGACAGGTTGAACTGAATCTGGTTCCAGCCATCATCCAGCCGCATGGGCATGGTACAGATGAAGGGCTTGACCCGGGTGGTGCTCTGGTAGTTGCTTGCCCGAAACCGCCGACGCACATTCTTGTCATCCAGTACCTGTGAAATAGAAGTCGCACTCACTCCATCTCGGAAGAGGCAAACAACCTCAATACGACAAGAATCTGACTCCTACAGCCTGGTTTCCCAAGGCTGAGACCCAGAGGAGAATAAACAGACCACATATGGGCCACGCACTGGATACAGATGGCCCGGAAGTCACAAGTTTATCTTGTTTGTTGCCAAGACAACAGCAGCTGCTTATGACATATGATATACACAGGCTCTCAGACCATAGAATGATTTCATGAAAGTTCTTCCCTTTGAAAAATCAGAAATACTAAAACAGGGAAGAATAACTCAGTATTGGGGACCAGCAGGTGGCATGGTAGTTAAGGTGCTGGACACTTCCACATGGCTAACCACAATTCAAGTCCTGGACCTGGCGTCTTACTTTCTCGCTTGCTTTCTCTCTCTCTCTCTCTCTGATCAAAGTAAAATAAATTAAGAAATAAAATTTTTTAAAAAAAGGAATAACCCGGTATTAAACAACATTCTCCATAGGACAACATGCTAACTCTTTTATTGATTAGATTTTTCTGGGGCTTTCCATTTCTCTAATTAAATATTTTGATTACCAACAGTAAATTTACATCATAACAACAAGGGCTGCACCAAGCTTATAGTAGAGGCAGAAAAGAACACCCACAAAAGGACCAGGACTCTTTGTAGGGCCACTTCCCCCCGTCTGTTAAATGGTTATCTCTTTGGTATGGCCAAGAGCAGACGCAGACACACTCATGTGCACATATTTACCTGGACCTCGAAGGTGAAGTATTTCTTTAGGTTTTTGATAATCATGACGAGGAAAGGAAGTTTAATTCCCAACGTCTTCTTAGGGTCTGCAGGACATGTAATGTATGTGGTGCTGCAGACAGAAAGGAAATAGCAGTAAACACACTCCTTGTCTTTTCCATTGTGGTATGTACAACAATAACACATGAGCCAAGAGGAAAAACTGGAAAGCAGATCTAGAAGACTCAGAATGAATTCCTCGACCCTTAAGTCAGCTAATGCTTTTAAAAAAAATGCTGGACTCAGAAACTAAAGCTGAATACAGGGCTAGACATCAACAATAAAATATCTGGAAAATAAAGTCAGACCAGTGGATCTTAGGAAGTTCTTCTAGTGACAGAAGACTTCAATTCTACTCCAGAAAAACCATCGAATAATAGAAAACCAAAACTAAGACCACAGTGACACTGAAAAACACACCGGCCACCATCCCCCGAAGCTGGTTAAATATTAGTAACACAGTTAATACTGACGTGGTGCACATGGGTCTATGTGTTTCATACATATTTATTTATTCAGTCCGTCTAATAACCTTATCAAGAAGCTACAATCTTATTAACTCGTTCTCTACAGGTGAGGACATTAAGGCCTGGGGGATTAAGTGACTTGCCAAGGTACACTGTAGAGAGCAGAACATAGAGTCACATGGGACAGTCTGACTAATCTGTGCCACTGACCTCTATGGGGTTCTACCTCTCTGTATGTGACGTCTCTTGGAGAACAGAGGTGGCGACCTACCTGACATTTGTTCCTTCAATTTCCAGCACCAGGGACTGGATGTCGTTATCAGTGATTCTTTTGATGTGGCCATTCCGCACCTTCAAGGAGGAAAACGTGACCAGTTAGTGCTAAAATACCAGGCAATGACCTTGTAAAGATTTTGAAGGTGAAATGAAACTATTTAGGGAAAATCAGAGTAGCCCAAGAGGCGTGACAGGAGTTGTGACCCAGTGTGGGGAGGTTTATATGTAAGAGGTATGCTGTCACCTCTATACAGGGTTGTCTACACAACCACCACCTGGGAATCCCAGGTAACCTGGCAATCTGTAAATCAGGATGAATTCTCAGAAAAGAAAGCGACTCCATTTATTGGCTGGCGGAAAAGTCATGACGTATTTTTGCAGAGAAAAACACAGAAAAATACGTCATGACTTTTCCGACGACCCAATAGATTCAGCTAACATTTATTGAGTGTCTCTGTACACTTTCTCTCACTTAACCTTCACAACAACAAAAATAACAAAACGGGCAGTACTGTCTCCATTTTCCAAAGGTGGACCCGCGGATTGCAAATGACAGATCCTAATTTGGAGAGTCAGGGTTTACCAGGCCTTCCACTGCCCCATACTACCTCACACACTTCTTTTTCCAGAAAGCTCATCGGAGCACTGAGAGTCACTGAGAAGGAGAGGGCAACCAAAAAGCAAAACCATTACTCCCCTGGGCTCACTCCCACTTCACGCTCTCTTATCATCTTTTTCCTAATTTTCTTTTTCAAGTATGAATTCAAGTCCTATCTGTGCCCCACACAACGCCTTTGTCAGCGATTTCAGCCCATAAGGACCCCTTTTCTCTGATTTGTTTCTCTGGCTCTCGTTTAGACTACATAATTCAGCACTCCATCCTACACTGTTGGATATCGTTAGCTGTGTACGTAGGAAGTATATAATGAGGAGGAATCAAATCATGAATATAGGTTCTTCCTCTCATAATATTTGGGAAAGAACAAATATCTTGAAGCATTAACCTTAAAAAAAAAGATTTATTTAACTTTGTTTTTCTATTTATTTAGTTTTAATTTGCTATAGAGAGACAGAGAGAGAGGGAAAAGGAAAGTGAGAAAACAAGCCACTAGGTCTGGGGGTGGAACTGCAGTCAGCCATGTGAGAATCCAGCACCTTAACTCCCATGCCACTTGCTGGCCCCCAAGCATTAAACTCTTAAGCACCTAATGTGAACAAAACAGAGACAAACAAAAGCACTTCTGAATTAGAGCTAGACTGCCAGGGCTGAATGCATTGAGACATGATAAAGATAACCAGTCTAGGACTGTACACATCAGAAAGACAAGCACGCGGCCTTCTCCTAGGTACTGGTGGGAAAAACACCGTGCCTAGAAATGGATGTCAGACTGTCATAACCCATGACTCACTCACACCAAGTAAAGTCTCCCTTGCTCACTATTCAGCTTTTTGGTTACAATTTGGCTTTTGTATTTGTGTATAGGGAGGGTCCAGGGTGTTGAGATGGACAGCTGTATTTCTTTTGAAAAACATTTTGCCAGAGGGCACATGCACTCACCAGAGACAGAAAGAGAGGGAAAAGGAGAACCCCCATCTCCATGGGGGATGGCCTCACAGCACTTTCCTCTCCTCTGTTTCTGACTCTTTTCAGGATTTTGAGCATCCACGCACATATACCTAGGGTGCTTTTCAAGGTGCCAGGTTGCAGACTTGAACCCTGTATTAAGAGTTGGCCATAACCCTAACCCTAACCCTGACCCTAACCACCATGCCACCAGCTAGCCCAGTAGTATTTTTCTTTTTTATTTTTAAGAAATGTTTGCTATAGGGCGCATGAGTTTGCCAGAGAGACAGAGACAGACAGAGAGACAAAAAGCAATAAATCCCCCCCACCAAGGGGGGATGGCCACACCACACTACAATCATTTCTCCACTCTCCTCTCGGGATCTTGGGTACACACGGACATACACCCAGCATGAGTTTCAAGCCACTGGGTCTGGGACTTGAACCACAGTCAACTACATGGGAGTTCAGCGATGTAACCATTATGCCATCTGCTGGTCCCAATAGTTGTATTTCAATGCAGATAATCTGGCATTGTTTACAGACATTAGTCTCTGTGAGCGCTGTGGTTGTTTGACCCACTTGTGGGGTGCTTGGTGCTCCCCAGGTGACATCTGACGTTATTGCACACCTTTTAATACAACTCTGAGTCTTGTCTAGTCAAGAAAGCATCAGCTCAAGCAAGCCTAGGGAGAGCTGGTCGGAGTATTTTCTAGCTTCCACAGTGCTTTGTAGCTGGCTAGGCTTACAGTAAGCATTCACATATTTGCTGACTTCTGGAATTTGTCACCCTCGGAGTTGGCACACATGAATAGATTCGAAGAAGATTTTTAAGAATTTTGTGGATGACATATCCACTCAGGACTATTACAGAAAGCCAGAGATCCCGGGGTGCATCACAAAGCCCATGAGGCTGCTGCAGGAAGAATGCTTCCTCACAAAACATCCTCTGATGCCCATTGTCAGAGACAGAATGCTGGGCTAGACGGGCCCCCATCCCTGCAAATGTAGCAGTTCTTGGGTTCTCAAGACACAAACATCACATTGAAATGCTTCTCAAACAAAGCTGGCGACATTCAATGCCCTCCTGCTTTGAATTCTGGGCCTCTTTCCAAGGGAGATTAAGAGCACAAAGATTTGGGTCTGTGCAGAACATGCCAACACGGCCTACCTCGTTTCCCACGTGAATGTTCCTGACCAAAGCGGCAACATTCCTCCTATATTTTCTATAAAAAAAAATCGGGCAGACTTATTGGTGAAGGAGGAGTTAATCAAAAAATTACTTCTAAATAATGTCAGATAGCCTCCTAATAAGAGCTGGCTGTATTCCACAAGATGCGAACACAGTTTTAGACCAGTAATGACTGTCAATAACACAACATTCTTTCTTTAAAAGGTACACAGCATACATCATACAGATGGCTCAACTAAACCGATCATGAAGCCATTAGGGGCCAGGACTGCTGTTATTGAAAAACAAGTCACTGGTTTATCTATTATTTTAAATCACAGGCCTTATATCTTACATCCCAAAGTGCTCAGGCCAGAGTCAACAAAAGGCCTCTCTCAGCTTCAGAAAGACCCGCTGGCTCTCATAGGGAGGAAATGGTAGGGAATTTGCCTTCTGCTCGTCTCGAAGTTTATGGCCGATGACTTCACTGGAACACTCCAGCACATCTGACCCACTGGGTCTTTGCAGAAGAAGACAATGCTTTTTACACGGCAGGAGCCAACAGGCTGGGAGCCGGAATAGACTCTGCAGCATTCTGCACCTGCCCCAGAGGCAAGTTCACTGTGAGCAGACTTCCAGTAACTTCCTAAAGAGAGTTCTTTCACTGTCACTAGACAACAACCACATTCACACACTGAATTCCTTCTGAAAGGAATGAATGCATCCCATGTAAAACAGGAGAACCTCAGGAGAAAAGGCAGCTGTTCTGAAGCAAAGGCCATCAGTCTCTAGAATTTTAACCTGGCTGGCGAGACAGACTAAATGGCTTTGCCTGGGAGAGAGTTCAGCCTCCAAAGGACAAAAATACAAATATTCCCATTACATAGGCTTCCAGAGCTCTGAAATCAAGTTAAATAGATTTGCTAGTGCATTGTGTTTCTTTTCTTTTCTTTTTTTTTTTTTTCTTCTTCTTCTTTATTAAAGTCAGAGGACTGCAAATACAAACTCACTGGAAATAAATGGGGGTGGGGAGTATTAACCAAAGATAAGAGCTTCAGGGGGTTGGAGACTTCCCAAAGCCTTTTGTCTAGGCTCTAAAACCAGGATCAAAGGGGAAAAGGGAGTGGGCAATTTGGGAGAAGGCCTTCCAACCACCCTGGCAATCTGGTAAAGGTCTTCCAGGAAGCAACCCCTCTCCTCAGCCCAGCTTCCGACACACACACACAATAATACACGTGTCCTCAGAAAGCATCAACTTCCTTTCCTAGCTCCTTCCAGTTCAGAGGCCATTGGGCAGGCCTGGTTCTGGGATGAAGATCAAATAAACTGCTCATGGTGGGACAAGCAGTTAGCATAATGGCTGTGTTGCTGGACTCCAAGTAGTTGACCGAGGTTCGAGTCCTGGACCCGGTGGCTTAAACACAGTGGGCACGTGTGAGTGCGTGCCCAAGATCCAGAGAGAAGAATGGAGAAGGGACTGCGGAATGGTCATCCCCCCTGGGGGGTGATTTCTCGCTTTCTATCTCTCAGTCTCAGTCTGTCTGGCGAGTGCACGTGCCCTATAGCAAAAACCTCTCCAAAAAAAGTAATAAAATGAAATAAACTGCTCATGGTGAAGGCAGGTTTTATTTTACTTTCTTTTTACTTCCCTCTTTAAATCAGAAAGAGCCGAGTGTTTCTAACTTGAATTTTTTTTTCATTCATGACACATTCTCACTATCCAAGTGTGGTTGTTTTATTAATCACACACACACACACACACACACACACACACACACAAATTAAAGCCAAACTATTTCTCCTCTTTCATGAACTTCCTCATCCAGGAGCTGGAGGTACCCTAGGAACTTCAGAGCCCAGGTTAGGGCACGTACAGACCAGAACGGTTCTCAGCCTCTGTAGACACTGAGGGGACTAGACCTTTCAGCCTGCCTTACGATCATTCTCTTAGGCTTTCCATGGTTGCTGGGGCAACAAATAAAGAACACAGTTTTTTTTCATCTTCCCTCCAAGTAAGCCCCAGGGAGGAGGGTCAAGCTGAGGGAAAGAAATACTACTGGGGGCAGTGGAAGGGGGAGAAGCTGGCCAACTTAGGAGTGTTTTTAAAAATAACACATGAATTGTCTTCATTCCCTTCCCCTCCCCCCACTTTCATTTTTTGGCTCCACCCATTCGCCCTGGCAGGGGCTGAACCCTCAGCCATCTGGCACCCTAGTCTTAATGACACATGTTCCAATTTCCTTTAAGCGGTCAATTCCAGCAGGAGTTTCTGCCCTGGATTAGGCAGGAGCAGGCCGAGGGAGACCCCTGTGGGAAGAACTGGGCATAGCTCCGAACCAG